GAAGTGCCTTACGTGCCAGCAAGTGAAGGCCGAGCATCAGAGGCCAACGGGTCTGTTGCAACCCTTGCCTATTGCCAAGTGAAAGTGGGAGCATGTCACTATGGACTTCGTTGTAGGTCTTCCGAGGACTCAGCGGGGTAGTGATGCCATTTGGGTGGCTGTAGACTGGTAGACTAAGTCGGCGCACTTTATTCCTATGCGCGTGAGAGATTCGGTAGATCATCTCGCCAACTTGTATATTTTGGACATAGTGAGATTGCACGGGGTCCCAGTGACGATAGTCTTAGATAGAGATCCTCGTTTTACTGCTAGGTTGGGGTAGAGTTTACAGAGTGCCTTGGGCACTAAGTTGACCTTTAGTACGGCTTATCATCCTCAGACTAACGGACAGTCCGAGCGTACTATTCAGATCCTTGAGGATATGCTTCGGGGTTGTGTCCTTGACTTTAGTAGGACGTGGGAGAGGCACTTGCCCTTGGTGGAGTTTGCCTACAACAACAGTTTTCAGTCTAGCATCGGTATGGCACCGTTTGAGGCCTTGTATGGCCGACCGTGTAGGTCTCCAGTTTGTTGGGCCGAGGTGGGTGATGCACCTTTGTTGGGTCCGGAGTTGGTTAGAGAGACAACGGAGAAAGTTGAGCTTATCCGTAAGAGGCTTGTTACAGCCCAGAGTCGACAAAAGAGTTATGCCGACCGTAGGAGGAGGCCTTTGGCGTTTGAGGTAGGTGATCATGTCTTCTTGAAAATATCACCTAGGCGAGGTTTGATGAGGTTCGGGAAGAGTGGGAAGTTATCCCCTCGGTTTATTGGTCCCTTCGAGATCCTTGAGAGGGTAGGCGAGTGTAGACACCCCATTTTTGACCGACCTTAAGACTCAGACGTCACCGATTGAGCACTCGGTGATATTGCATATTGTGCTCATTCAGAAGTTTCAGAGTCTCGGCTGCGAGCCTTGCCTCCGGACTTCCGGGCTCTTTCGTGTCTTGCCTCGGTTTGCGAACCAGGCTACTGACTTAGAGGTTGATGAGGATGCCTCGTATGAAGAGAGACCGGTTCGGGTCTTGGATAGGAGGGATCAAGTCTTGCGAGGCAAGACCATTCCCTTGGTAAAAGTCTTGTGGAAACATCATGAAGTGGAGGAAGCCACTTGGGAACGTGAGTTGGAAGTCCGCGAAAAATATCCGGACTTGTTTGTTAATGTGTAACCATGCTTTGGTAATTTTGTGATATTATTGAACCTTAAGAGTATTGAATATATCTTAGGTTGTAAAACATGGTTTATGTTTTGATTTAATGGAAGTATTTTGAAACTTGCCTCAAAATGGAAGTTTAATGTAACATTGCATATGTTGAATGTATTGTGGAAATGGAAATATATCATGAATACTGAATATGATATAGAATCGTGGAATGTAGTATTGAAATTTGTGGAATTTCAGGGAATGCATAACTATAATGCATGTTATGGAAAATGTTGTAAACTGCCTCTTGAAAAGAGATGAGATGACCGGTAATGGGTCGAGTTGTTAAAAATTCGCATTTTGATAATGTTGGGAATTGAGAAAATATTGTTTTTGAAAAACTTGTATTTAATTTCGGGGACGAAATTCTTTAAGGGGGGGAGGTTATAGCGATCCCGGTTGTCCCTTTACTGTTCTATTGTATTCTGGACTCGGTTCTGTGGAGTTGGTAGTTGTATCTATCTTGTTGTCGTCCTTTAATTCCATTTGTTTGAGTTATAGGATGTGTTGGGCTTGCTTCGAATAGGTGGGTTGAACCTTGGTCAGAAATCTTGTTGCCAGGTTTTTGGTCGTTCCACACGAGCGGGCCTTGTTGCACTCGAGCGGAGATTGCACGCTCCCAGTTTTTCGTGTCCCTGCAAAACTTCTGCAGGTGTGATTTTTACGCTCGAGCGGGTTTCTTTACGCTCGAGCGGGTGCTGTGGCGCTCGAGCGGGTAGGACTTTTGGGTGTAAGTTCTGGGAGGGGGAAATCTACGCTCGAGCGGATGCACTTTATTCTTGTGTCTTGGCACTCGAGCGGGCCTTCTTGCGCGCGAGCGTACCTAGTTTTTTTGTTCTTGACGCTCGAGCATTGTGTTCTCCGCTCAAGCGGGAATGTCGTATATTAGTTGACAGCTGGGCATTTTAAAATCACTTTTTACATTCTCTTTCTCTCTCTTACTTTCTAAAAAGCTATTTTGAGAGCTCCTCTCTCTAGAAACTCCCTTCTCTCTAGGGTTTGATCTAGTTAGAGTGTCTCTCTATCCTCCGACCTTTGTAAAAAGTGTGTTGATCGTCAAGGGCTTCGTGTTGATCCGAGAATCATAGTGTTTGGAGCATTTTCACTTTCTTCTCCTTCTTCGTTTGAGCTCTAACTTCGAGGTAGGGATATCCTACTCCTTCTCATGAGTTTTGTCTTTGAATTTTAGTATTTTGATGAGTTGGGGGTTGTTGGGTAATTTTGAGAAAGTTTGGGCCTTTGTGTAAATTCTACAAAAGTTGGGGTTTTGTTTATATAAACTTACATGCATGTTTGGCATAGAGAAATGGGATTAATATTGGTTTATTGGTGAAAATGGAACCTTAGGGTTGTGATGTTAATTATGAGAAATGCTCTAATTACATTGATAAATTAATTAGTACAATTAATTTGAAGAAAAGAAGAATTAAATTGAGAACGTTGAAATGTTGATTATATATCCATTTTGTGCATTTATTTTCAGTATAGAAATAACAGCTTTGGGCTATCGGTGGAGGATAGTCTTGATTGTTGTAGACAATGCGTGATGATTAGGCAAACTAAAACTAATCAATTGAGTAAGCCATTGAATATGGTAGTTGGTACAATACAGCACTCAAATGTGTATTGATTGATTTAATTTGTATATGATAATTGTTTATATACATTGTATTGTGTGGGAGGAGAAAGGGGCTGTACTCCACGATTTATTGGAAGAAAGGGGCTGAACCTCTAAACCGAATCTTGTGACAGTAATACAGCACTACAATGTGTATCAGGATGCAAATTAGAAGTGTTTTCTTGTGACAGTGATACAACACTACAATGTGTATCAGGCTGCGAATTTGAAGTGTTTGTTTTGATTTGATATAGCGCCAAAATGTATATCGTTATCAATTGTGAAGTACAGAAGTGTTTCTATGTTATGTTGATACAGCACCAAAATGTGTATCGCTCGTATAGTATGGAAGTGACTTATGTGTTATTGATACAGTATCAAAATGTGTATCCACCATGAATTTCGAAAATGTTTTAAGATGAGTCTTATTCTCATCAAGTTGTTTGGCTAAGTTTTGAGCCTTGTTTTCAAATTCAAAGTTGAAAAAGAAATGAGAAATGAAATGTAACATGGACTTAATGTCATGAAATCGAAATGTGATATATGTAGATGTATCTGTGTTGACCATCTATCAACTGCTAATCTTTTAGTCATTGTTCATGGCTGGTTTAGTGTATCTCTACTGGGCTGTGGCTCACCCTTTATGGGACATCATTTTCAGGTACAGGTAGCATGCCACCTCCAAGGACATAGCTTGGGAGGCTAGAGGCAGACTGACTGCTTATTATTTGCTTTTTTGATGTATTACATGTAAATTCAAGCCAAGGGCTTAATATGTATTGAGTTAGCACTCTTCTTTATTGTAACCAAGTATTAACTTGGAAAGTTGTAAGCCCGTAGGGCATTTGCTTTTGTTGTTAACATGTAATACTTTTGTAAGAACTGTTCTGATTTAATGGAAATGTGGTTGGTTTCTTTGTATCAATGCATATCTAATGAGATGGGTTTTATTTATTATTTTGAGGGCGTTACAACAGCATTCTCTCCTTAATAGTTCTTGGTGCCTATTTTTTCATATTCCGAAAGAAATTTTATACAGAAATAATTTACCAAGTAAATTAATAAAATAACCCATAGAATAAAGAATTTCATTCCTCCTTTTACAATAAATTGTGCCTGGTAATTTAAGAATCGAACAGATTCAATTACCTGGATGCACAACCCAAGCAATGGAGAAATCTCTTTCTTAAGGTTATCTCAAATCATTCCATAAATCTTTTCGCCGGTGCAGATAACGGTGGCGATGGAGCTTTGAAATCGCTCTGAATCTCGAAATCGATCTGAATCTTCGAAATCGTTTCGAAATCGCTTTGAATCTTCGAAATCGCAGGTGCAGATGGAGCTTCGATGAAGAAATGTGTGCGTATAAGGATTGAGAGAGAGAAATGTGTGCGTATTCAAGCTAAGATTCAGTGTTATATATTCAAGCATCAAGAACAGCCAATTGCTCTCCTCCGTCTTCTTTGTCGTTGAGAGAGAGAGAGAGAGAGAGAGAGAGAGAGAGAGAGAGAGAGATGTGTGCGAAATTTGCACTCAGAATAAAAAATAAGGGTTTCATAAAGGGGTGTGTGTAACTACAGCATTTGAAGGCACTTTTAAACGCCTTCAATTAGAAACGGTGCCGTTTTGGTTTAAAAAAATATGCGACAGTTACAAAACGCCGTTAAAAATTAGCAAACGGGACATTTAATAAAACGCCGTTAGTTGCCTCATTTCCTGTAGTGCTACATTCATGTAGTTCTATATGTTCTTAGCCAATGATGATAGAAGAACTTGAAGAAAGACAAAAAGGAAGAATATTATTGAGAGAGTCAATTTTATTAGTGAAAAACACACTACCTAAAACACCATTAATTCTGGTATCATGGGGTGTGATTTGCACAAATGAAACTCTTGAATTATAGTTCACCACATATTTGGGCTTTAGAGGACCTGGGTGTGTGAACAGGGAATTTGACAAGACCTTTCACAAAATTAAGCAGAAATACGACTCTTAGATAAGTCTTGTACAAATTTCAACCACGTCCAGGTAAGAATGGTGTGAACAGAGAACTGTACAATTTTGACAATTTTCTTCCCTTGAATAGTGATGTTTAATTCTAGAATAAATTGAAATCCTAAAAAACTTGTTAGTCCCAAAAAAAAAAAAAAAACAATCAACTGTAATTTGTTTGTTGAAAACTACTTGCTTTATCTTAGTCCTGATAAAACTGATGGAAATAATGGGCTAGCAACAACACCAATGGCATCCTCTTGGTTTCCAGCAACTCTGATTGCTCTTCGTACCACAGGAGTTATGAAGTTATAATCCAAATTATTTTCAACTTCTACAGAACCCTCCAAGACCTTAACCACCACTGACATTGAAGGCCTCCTAGAAAAATCACTTTGTATACACCACACAGCAACCCTCATCATCTCCACAACTTCTTCTCTACGTATCTGCATGTCATCATTGTATTTATCAACGATATCCAGAAGTTGTTCCGCTTCTACTTTCCTCTTAAATAGACTTAGTAAATGCATATCTTCCTCAGGCGAAGACCTATCTAAATTTTTGCGCCCACACAACATTTCCAAGACCACGACAGCAAAGCCATAGACATCTACTTTCTCAGTGATAATTGAGTTCACCCATTCAGGAGCCAAATAGTCTGGTATTCCCTTCATCATTGTTACAACTTGGCTTTGGTCCTTATCAATTAGTTTTGACAATCCAAAATCAGAAATTTTCGCATTGAACTGTCCATCTAAGAGGATGTTTTGGGGTTTGATATCTAGGTGAAATATTTTCTGCCTGCATTCCTCATGGAGATAGGTTAGTCCCTTCGCTATATTTGTGATGATCTTCTTTCTGGATTGCCACCCAAGAGTGCAGTCTTGGTGCCTGTGGAAGATCCATGTATCCAAGGATCCGTTGGACATATACTCGTAAACTAGAATACGATATGATTTTTCAGCACAAAATCCCATTAATCTTACCAAATTGACATGGTGAATGTTGCCTATTGTCTCAACTTCAGCTAAGAATGACTTCTTAATATGATCAAAACCATTGAGACGCTTGACTGCTATTTTGGCGCCATCGCTTAATTTCCTTTGAAACACTGACCCAAATCCTCCTTTCCCGAGCTGATTGTTGAAATTGCATGTCATGGCTCTCAAGTCTTTGTAAGAGAATCTGGTAGGCATCCCAAGTATTTGATCGACATAGAACTCATCAAGTGCCTTGGATTCTCCTTTTTTACTATAAAGGAAAAAGCAAAAGGCAACCACAAAAGATAAAGCTCCGAGACTGGACCCAAGTATGATTATTATTAGTTGCCTTGATTTCTTTTGAGTAGAATTTGCTGGTGAAAAAACAGCAGGAGATGGAGATGGAGATGGAGATGGAAATGGAGCAACAACAACAGCAGAAGATGGAGGTGGAGGATGAGGTGGGGATGGAGGCGGAGATGGACCACCATTTAATGGATATACAACAGGAACTGGATTTGGAGATGGATCACCATTTGTTGTTACAACAGGAATTGGATTTGGAGATGGATCACCATTTGTTGGAAATACAACAGGAACTGGATTTGGCGATGGATCACCATTTGTTGGAAATACAACAGCAACAAGAGATTGAGGTTGGGCATTGTTAACAATAGCAGCAGCAGCAGCAACATAATAATAAATAGTACAACAACAATAACAACAACACAGACCCATTGGGGGTGTTCTATGTCTATCCATTATTAGAGCTCTGTTTCTTCATCTTGTTCACTAGTTTTTGGTTTTCTTTTGCGAAAGCAATGGAGGAGAAGGTGTTGCAAACTCCATATTTCGTGTCTTTAAATGTAGAACCAGGAGGAAAGTGCTGCATTTCAAATCACTCGTAAATCACAAACAAAAATGCTATGGACCCAGATTCTCCATCACAGATTTTTCTGGATAGAGTGTTTTTTGCGTTGGAGAATTATTCCAAGTATACAACAGTTTACAAGAATTATTCCAAGAGTCCTTAGAGACGTTGTTTATGTTCCCTACTCCTTTTGTTACGTCAAAAAAACGCGCACACATTTTGTTGACTAACAATAAAATGAGAAAAAAGATCTGACTCTCCGTTACACGTTGTAATAGAAAATTTTTATTATATATCTAATATTTATAAAAGTGAATTTAAATTTATAATTATTTTAAATTAAAAAAAAAATAATTACATTTACTGTTGGATGGGATATAATGGACCCTCTCCATTATATATCCTTTAGTGTGTATCATATTTATTATGTTACATATTTTTGTGACAAATGTAAGGTATTCTTATGATAGAATTTTGATAATTTGTGATTCAAAAATTATTTAAAAAAAAAATTGCATAGTATTACCATGCAAATTTGTGATTTTAAATTATTTCAATACGATTAAAAGAATAACATTGTCACAAAAATACATAGTATTATTACAAAATGAGTAATATTATTTCAAATACCATGCGGTACAATTATGACCAATGAATATAAATGAAGCTTATGTGGAATCCATTGAATATATAATTGTAATTGTGCCAATATTAAAATGTGATAAAAATAAAAAAAGGATGATTATTGTGAGATTCATAAACTTAACAATAAGAACCTTTCATTAAAGACCCTACGGCATCAACCAAATTAATTATTCATAACTTGATCGGAGCTATCAAAATGAGAAAATATTTTATGTAATGGTTACATCACATGGACCGGATGACATGGTGTCGCCATTTCACTTTTTAATTAATATGTGATTAAAATGAAATTTAAGAAATCAATTGTTCGTGGCACAACATATATCTATTTCACCATTTACTATCAGTTAATGAGGGAAAATACGTCATTTCAGTCATCATGCGATGTACTCGTAATATAAAATATTTGTACTTTTAAAAATAGGCTTCTGGTATAATATCAGTATAAGTGAATTGTCTTTTAACACCATCTTGATCTGACTTAGAAGTTCTAAATATATTGAAAAATTACATGAATCTTGAGAAAGAAATTTATCAAAATGATATCAAAGTTTATTTTTTAGACTTAGTGATGTGTGAAATAGATGATTAGAAAAAATATGAGAGAGAAAGAGAGTTGCCTTAGACATATATTCTAATAGATTATTATATTATTGAGTTTAAAGAGTGAATTTAACTTTTGGAGTAAAATAGCACTACTCATTCACAAAACGGCAGTGCTAGAGGCCTTGAATTTGCCTCGAATTCTTTTTTGTTTTTGTTTTTTTTTTGGGGGGCTGTGTTAGTTATTTATTTTATTTTATTTAAGGGTGTTTATGTGTAGCTGCTAGTTAAATTTTGTTAATTCATATAATTTTGTACAATGAGTTGGTGCGAAATGTCTAATTTTTTGGCACACCTCTACACATAACCACCTTTAAAAAAAAAAAAAAAACCCAACACAGCCCAACAAATAGAAGGAAAAACAAAAAAAAAAATCTTAAAATTTTATTTTGCCTTTCAAATTATCATTAAAGAATCAATTTATTTTTTTAATAATATTAATTTTTTTATATATTTAAGAGTCTAATTGATATTTTGGAAATTTTTTGAGGGGTAAAATGAAATGTTGATACTCGGTCAACAACTTCTATTTGATTATAGACGGCAATTAAAGGCAGAGATAAATTTGATAACAAAATGAATAGTTTAGATATAAAATTGATCTTGTTAAAAGAATGTGGATTGAATTGATTTTTGAATAGTCATAGTTTGGGGGATAAAATAATTTTTTTAAAAAATTTAACACTAAATCAAATCTTTCAGTTTTGTTGGTGGAGGAACCAAAACAGACAACATGCTATAGTTTGATTTCGTCAATTTGGTGTAGAGAAATGATTAACATGAAATTTTAAAAAGTTATATAATAACTTGTAAAATTTCACATTGAAAATAAATGAATAAAAAAATAAAAATTGTTCTATAAATGCCTAATTTTTATTATAAAACATATAGTCTCAATCACTTATCTTCTAATATATAAATAATTTAAACTATAAAAGTATTTAAACATAATGTTTTGGGTAGATTACACTTTGCACTCCTGTACTTTACACAAAATCTCATTTTAGTCTCTGCACATCAAATTGTGACACTTAACCCCCTTGTGCTTTTGGTCAAGTGTCACATTGGCCCTTCTGTTAATAGTGAGGCTAACAGAAGTTATCCTTTAGGGAGCTAAGTATCACAATTTTAATATGTAGGGACTAAAGTGAGATTTTGTGTAAAGTGCAGCGGTGCAAAGTTTAATTTATCCTCACATGTTTTTCATGTGACTAGCCTCTGTTAACAATGAGGCTAACAGAAGGGCCAAAGTGATACTTGATCAAAAGTGCAGGGGGTTAAGTGTCACAATTTGATGTGTAGGTGTCAAAGTGGGATTTGATGTAAAATGCAGGAGTGCAAAGTGTAATTTACCCTAATATTTTGGGTAGTTAAATATTTATTAAAATAATTATTTTTTTTTTAAACCGAAACAAATTACAAGTTTTAAAAAATAGATCAAAAATCAAAATTTCAATCCCTTTAACAATTAGTTCTATTCTACCAATTTTTTCTACGTCCCCACTTTAACCTAATCCAGTGACGACTACCTTATAATCAAAAGAGAAAATGGCACGTACCATGTTGCTCAAAACGTTATAAAGTCATGGCAAGACTTTTTCCAACTCTACAATTTCCATGGTCCACTCCACTTCACAGACAGAACATTAAAATTTATTTTTACAATTTTTTGTAAAATACTATTTGCACCTTCAAAAAGATTTATGATGCGCTAATTCACTCGTTGTTGACGCCATTGCCAAAATGAAAATTAGAATTAATTACATTTTTTCATTTATGTAGTTTGGTTTAAATTTTATTTTAACTTTTATAATTTTAAATTAAATAATTTGTTCCTACACTTTAACCAATTCTTGGATATTGTAAAGGCCTCAATTATAATAAAAAATAATAAAAGGCCTCAATTAGATGATTTTAGGTTAATTACTCGCTAGTCCTGTTATAAAGGCATATATATCATTGAGTCTCACAAGTGTTTGTATAGATTAAAAAGTCCTAATAGTTGGATTTAAATAAATATGTTGTTAAAACTAACAATTAATGATGATTTTCTAAATCTATCACTTAAAAATGACACTAGTGACTTTTTTATGTGACAATTTTCTAAATCTATTGCTAAAAATGATAATTAATAACTTTTTTTGTGAAGATTTTTTTAAATTATTGCTGAAAACTAATTAGTGACGCTTCTTATGAAAATGCCACTAGAAAAAAATAAAAAAATAAGATTTTGTGGTAATAATTAAAAGTGAACAGGAATTTTTAATGCACCAAAAAATCAAGAAGACTTATTGGTGCACTTATCTTCTAATAGGACTTTTTAGTCAATTCTAGGTAATTCTATTTTCACACACTAATTTTGTAAAATTCAGGTTATTATGAGTAATTTAGTAATTTTAAGAATTAGGTTATCAACCCTTTAAAAAAAATAATAATAAAAAGAGGGGGGTTTTCATGTTATGTTGTATGATTACTTTACAGAGGGTTCAGTGGAGGCAGTGACAGGAATTGAGGGCAGCACGTTGGGGATACTTTGATACATCCATTGACTGAGGTAAGATCCTTCTTGTATCACTAGTTATTAATTTTCTATTGATAAATAAAAAAAAACAGTCGAAGCTTTATGTAAACCTGTATGTGCCTACTTGGTTTTGTGAGCTTGGTGAGTGGTGCAACATATGGAGTGTAGGCTGGGTAAAGAGTAGAAACAGTGGAGCAGTCTGTGTGCGTGTGGTTTGTCATTTGAGTTTTGTACATTGGGTAAGGTGTGTTTGGCTTTTAAATTGGGTGGATTGATTTGGTGTCTCTTGGATTTTAAGCACTACATATATGTAGTGGGTTCTTCTTGTTGTGTGAAAGACATAAAACTATTAATTTATTTGAAGTTCTATTTATTAGGTGTGTGATTGAAGTGGTGGAGCTGGGTGTGTGGAGTTAGTGTGGGGGAATAATATTTTAGCTGTTTGAGGTAAGTAACCCCGTATCACTGTTGGTTCATTTTATTCCTACTGAATTGTTTGAAATTATAAATATTTATTTATAACCTTCTTGTTCTCTTACAATAAAATATGGGTCAAATATAAAACAATTTCGGATATTATTATGAAGAATATTTTGTGAAACTATTCTGAAATTGTACGAAATGTTTATTCTGAAAATGTCGAATATTTTATTTAAAAGTTGTGTATTGTTTGAATTTTGAACATCATTCTAGTTTGACTATGATTTGGACCCTAGCTAATGAGGGTTATTTATTGACACAAAAACTAGTTTCTTTTGGGGCTTCACCACCGGCCTAAGTGTAGTTTTAGGCCTTATCACGGGCTAAGTGACCTTAGTCACCAAGACTTGAGTTTTTTGAATCGAATCATTGAACCATATGAATATTGAACCATCAATTTGAACAACGAAATTTCTTTGAATTACATCATTATTTTTTCAATTAAAATGTTTTGTTGCATTGTTTATTTTCAGCTATGAGACCA